GGTCCTTCAATATAAGTGAATCAACAGTTTAATGCTACAGGATATCTAATCATTACAAATAAAAATCAAAAGCTGTCATCTAAGGTGATGTATGCCATACTGTAATCTATTGATAAAAAATGCAGCCTATCTACTCCCTGCTGAGCTACATTTGCTCAGCATACATTTAAAATGGAAAATGCTGTTCCCTGTCACACCAGTATATCAGAGAAAGGTAAACTTTCAGAAAAACCAAATCCAGCAAATGCGTGACAAAATTAGAAATACATTGGGGTTGATTTACTAAAGGCAAATAGACTGTGCTCTTTGCAAGTGCAGTTGCATTCATTTTTTTCAGAGCTTAGTAAAAGTGGTGAAGCTCTACTGGCTCCCATCATCCAATCATGTGCAAGCAACAATGCAGTTTTTTTTTTTAATTTTCCTTACACCTGGTTGGGTATTTCTTTCTCTAGAGAAACTTCACACTCGTTAGCTCTGACGAAAATGCAACTGCACTTGCAAAGTGCACAATCTATTTGCCTTTTTTATAAATAAGTCCCCGATTGTCAATCAGGCTGTCTGTCATATAACGAAGTATAAGCCATAGTATTTTGAGTTTTTTTGTGTGTATTTGCAGCGCCTGTGCCTGGAATCCTGGGCAGCAAACAGACAGTTTTGCAAAGCTCTACGAGTTACCATTGTAGATGAGAGAAATTTTACATGCATAATTAGTAAGCAGTGAGGGTCAGGTTTTATATTGGTACCATGCTACTTTAGGTCAACGGAGGCAGGAATTTCTGAATTAAACTCCAATATAGTAGCAAATATTTATTGCGTACTGCTCCTATTTAGCACTGCCTTGCTGTGCGACAGAACTGGAAGCAGCTCACACATATATTTCACATTCTCTTCATCCCACTATTTCATTATATGAAGCCTATTCAGATGCATACGGGATTAATAAAAAAAAAAAAAAAAAAAAAAAAAGCATAAAGTGTCAGAATGCTTCTCTAACATCACCCTTAAAGTGAAACTAACGCTAATAATGTTTTATTACCTTAATGCATTCCTTGCATCAAGGTAAAAAAAAAAGTTTTATATTTCTCTGTCCTCCCCGTGTGAAGGAGAAGAGACGGGAGAAGAGATCCAGTGCTATGCATGGCTGCGTCTCTTCTTCCCTCTATTCCTCTTCACAGGGACTTGAACAAATGCAGTGAGAAAGTTCCGCGGGACACAGTGTGCCTGCATAGCAAACGGCTTGCTATGGGGACACACAAAGAAGAGGGGGAGCCAAGATCACTAGCGGGGTACCCGAGAAGAGGATCAGGGACAATCTGCGCAATACCATTGCACAGAGCAGGTGAGTATAACGTTTGTGATTTTTACAAAACAGAAAAATAGACTTTAGTAACACTTTAATGCATGCTTTCTGATTCACTAAGCTGGATCATGCATCCAGCAAGTGGCAGTTAATAACTCAAAGTAATAAATTGGATTTGCACAACAGTCAGCCAATAGCATTTTAAAAGGAGAAAAAGGCAACCTGCAAATCTCTCTAAGCAAAGGTTACCTTTAATACAGTGGTTTGTACAATGACTGGCTCTCAAACCTCCCTGACATATGTGGGATGACATGAACAAACTAATAAAGTGAATCTGTCAGCTCCACATCAAGGCTACAATTAAACAACTACCACTTCAAGACAGATAAGTGTGCCTCAGTGGCCATGTAGGGCACTCTTGTGGACAGAATTGCAGTTCACAGAGGTTAGAGACACCAGGTTTCTAGAGACAAAGAAAAATTATTTTCAAAAAGCCAAGCAAAATAGATTTCAGGCAGACAACGTACATAGTAGGCATCTTGGGGTGTCTGTTCTTAAGACCGATGCCACACAATGTGTTGCCAGCAGCAGAAACACTCATAAAAAGGCTTCCACTTACCTGTGTAGAATTGCGCTCAATGTCCTGAAATCCTGCCAAATTTCCCTTTTAAGGCTCCATATACACAAACGTTTTTTTAAGTTCCTAGAATCCATTATCAGAATATTTTTTTCTGCTCCTGGAAGCTAAATCGTGTTATCCTACAGTGGTTATAAAAAGTCTAAAAACCTGTCTACAAAAATCCTGTTAGAATGTCATAAAAAATTAAAATATGTGGTTGCATAAGTGTGCACACCCTCTTATAACTGGGGATGCAGCTGTGTTCAGAATTAAGCAATCACATTCAAAATCATGTTAAATAGGAGTCAGTACGCACACTTGTCATCATTTAAAGTGCCTCTGATTAACCCCAAATAAAGTTCAGCTGTTCTAGTAGGTCTTTCCTGATATTTTCTTAGTTGCATCCTACAGAAAAAGCCATGGTACAAAGAGGGCTACCAAAGCATCAGAGGGATCTTATTGTTAACAGGAATCAGTCAGGAGAAGGGTACAAAAGAATTTCCAACACATTAGATATACCAGGGAACACAGTCATCATCAAGTGGAGAAAATATGGCACATTACCAAAAACTGGACGTTCCTCCAAAACTGATGAAAAGACAAGAAGAAAAATGGTCTGGGAGGCTGCCAAGAGGCAAAAACATTCAAGCCCAGAAAACTTTTGCAAAAACACATCTGAAGTCTCCCAAAAGCATGTGGGAAAATGTATTGTGGTCTGATGAAACCACGATTTAACTTTTTGGCCATAATTCCAAGAGATATGTTTGGCGCAAAAACACAAAAAACAACAATGCACATCACCAAAAGAACTCCATACCCACAGTGAAGCATGGTGGTGGAAGCAGCAAGCTTTGTGGCTGTTTTTCTTCAGCTGGAACCGGGGCCTCAGTCAAGGTAGAGGGAATTATGAACAGTTCCAAATACCAGTCAATATTGGCACAAAACCTTCAGGCTTCTGCTAGAAAGCTGAACATGAAGAGGAACTTCATCTTTCAGCATGACAACGACCCAAAGCATACATCCAAATCAACAAAGGAATGGCTTCACAAGAAGAAGATGAACGTTTTGGAATGGCTCAGCCAAAGCCTGAATCCAATGGAAAATCTGTGGGGTGAACTGAAGAGGGCTGTGCACAGGAGATGCCCTAAAAATCTGACAGATTTGGAGTGTTTTTGCAAGGAAGAGTGGGCAAATATTGCCAAGTCCGGATGTACCATGCTGATAGACTCATACCCAAAAAGACTGAGTGCTGTAATAAAATCAAAAGATGCTTCACAATGTATTAGTTTAAGGGTGTGCACACTTATGCAACCATATTATTTTAGTTTTTTTTTTTTTATTTTTACTTCCCTCCACCTGAAAGATTTCAGTTTGTTTTTCAATTGAGTTGTACAGTTTCTAGGTCACATTAAAAGGTGGAGAAAGTTCTGAAATTATTTATATTTGTCTCATTTTTTTTACATCACAGAAATCTGACATTTTAACAGGAATGTATAGACTTTTTATATCCACTGTATGTGCACATGCACACTACTTTAGACTATTAGCATTTTTTGAGCTTCAGCTTCTAGGAGCAGAAATGTTTTTATAGTTTTTTGGAGTGTTTTTCCAGCAGAAAAAAAAAAAACCACGCTAAATGCTCATAAACACTACTAAAAACGGTCCTTTTTTTCTAGCTTTTATTTTCCCCTTTACATGTACTGTAAAAACGCTAATAAAAGACTAACACTCCCAAACACTTCTGAATGCTACTAAAACACTACCTAAAAAAAAGCTATTACCAGTAATTTTTATCTAGCGTTTTTCCCAGCTTTTTTAGCTTTAAAAAAAAAGCGCTAGTGTGCATGGAGCTTAAGAAGGAAATGGCAACTTGCTGATCGAGCTAGCAAGGGAGACACTATTAGAACAGGTTAGTGGTAAGTTCTTGTCACTGGCGAGTTGTTGCCAGTGACAGAATTGCTTGTGTGAGGAGAACTTTTACAAGTTTAAAATTGGCAGCAAGTTTACTTTGATATCCTGAAAGTCCAATTCATTACAGCTGAGGGAAGCAATGGAGTCCCCATGGGCTGGTTCCCTGTTCAGCCCATGCATAGTAGTCTGCAGCATAATAAAGGCATAACTACTATACAGAATATTTTAATTGTGGTTTAAGAGTTGCTTGAAGGATCATACAGAATATAAAAAAAACATTTCACTATCACAGCTGCATATTAGGAATAAAAAAACATGAATGCAAACCGTAGATAAACCTAAAAGCATAAAGTGCTAGCAGCTAGGAAACATACATATACAGAGTTTTTTTTTATTACCGAAACTATTATCTTCATTCTCTGTTCTGCATTACAGAATAATTGTATTTGTATTTGGACCCTTTGTGGGTTGACCATATTTACAAGATTTCTTTCTCGTTATGCTTTGAAAAAAAAAGTATTCTGGATCTCTCTCATCAGTTTCCTTAATAAATGTTTACTATTATTATGTTACACAATTTAAACATTAACCTTTATAAGTAATAGCACAACATGATTGAAAAAAAAAAAAAGCATTTTTATTCCATGCAGGAATGAAGAGACATCCTCTGAAATCTAGGTCATTGCTCTTAATTTAGTGCTGTGATTCTTAAAGAATACATACAATAATTCTAATAACTTTAAAAGTTGTCTTGCTTAGAATATCCAAACAAAGTCGTAATGTAACTATAAAATTATTCTGCCCGTCCTTTACTCTAACTTGGTGAGAATGCAGGCAAGGCACACAACATCTGACTGACAAAAAAAAAAAAAAAAAAAATATGTTTATCTAGATCAATAGCAATATGCCATGAGATAATACTATTCTGAAGTGACTGAATAAAAGCACAGTTTTAAATACATCTGAATGCACAGCCCTAGGCCATTCCATGATAGTACAGACAAGTCTCTATATAATAATGAATATTTACACCCATGCCAAAAGGCACTGTTAATGAAGATGTACACTGAAGGTTTAGCCTAGCTAATTTTCCTTGTCTTGTCCATTCCCAGTGTTCTGAGTTAGGAATTAAGGTCAAAATGTTCTCTTTGTCTCCACCTTCAATACATGCTATGCAGAGAGCCCAATAACCTGGGTGTTGTAGTCAGTGGTTTCCATACGCAAAATATAAGGAATTATGCTATCAATCTGAACATTCCCAATAAGTCCAGCAAAGAACAGTTCTTCCATAACTGCAGCACTCATCAGTCTTAGAGCTGGCAACCTGAGCAGCAGCCGCGACAACCTAAAATTAGAAAGAGAATTTCCTGAACAAAATATATGTTCCAACATGTAATACATCTGCTCTAAGTACCAAAAATAGGGTGGCACTGCTCCCAGGGGGGGAAAGTGTCCACCAAAGAAACATTTGTTCTCTGCCATGGATGTGGAGAGTCAGTCACTGACATTTTGCACATTTGATGACAATAAATACTGCAACTATTTTCTCCAAAACAAGCCAAAACACAATGGCATTGGCTGACTTCCATCCAAATTTAGCTGGCTGTAAGTATGACTGTGGTTGGGAAAGAAGACTGAAAGATTCCTTGGAACAGGGGTAGGTGAAAAGTTAAATGTTCTGTGTAGTCTACAGCAAAATAGGGTTATAAAAACAAGTAAAATATAACATCAACTAGCATCCATCTAAATCTTAACTATCATCACTTTGGGCAGTTAATCCTTTATAATTTTAATTGATCTTAATACTGCATTTGGACTAAGGTTTAGCTGCAATACCTAGTTGGAAAAAAAAAGAGTAAAGTATCACCTGTATGTATCATCCGGGTATGTCGTAGTTACATAGTCTTGGAATTCTGTGTAGGCTTTTTCCTGAAGCTTTTCAATTTGAGACACATTTTCCAATCCAGGATGATCTGTACAGTAAAACAGAAGATTGAATCCGCAACCTATGCATTAAATCATATATATATATGCTCATAATGCTCTTTTATACAGCCTTCTGATACTGCACTAAATATTAAAATGGGAACAAGCATCGTAAAGAATTTTATTTTATGTTACATGCATTCATGTGAATGCCTGAAACTTCCAGGTATTTATTAAAGCTCACAAAGATCAGAGTACTCCCTCTGACAATGGCTTTAAGTGCTTTTCCCATGAGAAGAATGGAATCTTTGTTCAGACATTTTACAGGGTCAGCTTCTACTTCTAGACTGAGACACTGGTTCAGAGATGAAATAGCCTCGTAAATCCTGGTGCAATTGCAGTTCTTGGCTGTGCTTACACATTTCTGACACAGATTAGCCCCTTCTTGTGCCTTCTTTTGAAAGTTACAATATTGTAGTCTGGGGACTGGGGAAGACAAGACTAAGGAAACACTTCCTCCTGCCTGCAACAGACTAATTACCAAATATTATCTCAACCCAGTCACAGTAATCTTCATGCCTAAAATGTTTTTTTTTTTAAATGTGTGCAGAAAATGCAAGAACGACTCTGGCAGTGAAAAGGATAAACATTTACTTAACATTTTACTTACAATAATTACTTACCAGGACTGAAGAGGACAATTGCTTTCATGTAAGCATATTCATAACCATCTAAATTTAGCTTGACTATGCTATTGCAGAACTCCTGAAGTTTGAATATGTGGTCCATTACCAACTTTAACTTGTCTCCCGACAGCTTATCTATCACAAGATAAAGTGGGGTAGTGTTACTCCAACCATTTGCCACTAAGCCATATATTTACCACCCCAGCCAATGTGTATGAATGTTAAATGACAGGCCCACAGTAAATTATAACACTGGAACTGGATGGTAAAAATCATCAAAACAAAAGGAATTTCTATATAGGAATTACCTTGGTCCAAAACAATATGTAAAGGATACAGCAGCAACCCACTATAAGTGTGCAAGCAATAAGCTGTGTTTTGTACTAACGTTACTTCTTGCATAAATGTCCAAAAACAATAAAATGGAACATATAAAATCATTTGCTTAAATGCTGGTACAAAACCCCCCCCAAAAAAACACACACAACAAAATGGAAAGTAAATGTTCAAACTGCTAGCCTCTACGTTTCCATGATGAGTGCCATTAACACAATACAGTTTAAACTCCTTGTGTTTAAAGTGTTACAAACCCAGGACCCTGCATTCACTATATCTGATCTTCCACAGTACACAAAACATGGAAATGAAATTATTTTAGTAAATATAAACTGCTAAATACCTTTTCTCATCAGCAGTTATAACAATCTTGTGACTTCTATCAGTGTTCAGCAGAGCACTGGTTAAAGCTTGTAGGAGGAGTTTTCTTTCTGGTCTAGGAGGATGCAGAACCCCTGACCTCTGTTTGGACAGTGATGACTGGCCCTGTGCTGATCACATGCACTCTCCCAAGAAAACAAAACAAAAAAAAACTCTCTAGCAATACACCCCAAACTGAGCATGTGCAGTTTCTCCACACATGTCTTATAAGGAGATAAGAGGGGGACACTAGAAGAAGGGGAGGATCAGAGAAGTCATGATCAAACAGCATTTCTACACCATGCAGAGGATTAACCCCTTAGGTTCCACAGTGAGTATAACAAGCATGCTTTACTGCATATACAGACTGATTTTACTGTTGTGGGTTTAGTAACACTTTAATCCTTGTATTTATGGCAGTCCTCATACAAACTTATGTCCGAGTGGTATGACTGTTCATTTCCTATTTTGTCATGGTTTTTATATGTTCCATTTCACGGATTTTGTGAACAGTATTGAATACCATATTGGAAATAAAACTACTTGTGTTAAAATAGGATTATTATCTTTTACATGGTATCATTACAAAAATAATACTTCCTTTAAAACAGATTTAGAACATGAATTTACTACTAGATTTGTATAACATTTTTTTTCATCTTTTCTCTTATGAACATATAAACTTTTACACTGTTGTAACATATCCCTGATGAATGTTTGAACCCCCGAAACATGCTGGCTCTCTTAATCCACTAATTCAATAAAGTCCATCTTGGACTCTGTGCCCATTGGTGTGGTACCCTTACAATTCTTACATATCTGGATTCCAAAAGAACCCCCCTTCTTTAGGGAAAAATTTGGTACATTGTGAGCAGCCTCACAGAAGCAATTCAGCTGGATCAAGGAGACAGTCATTTGTAACACTGACAAATAAAACAGGAGATCTAGGCCTCCTTTGAGCATGTACCCTGTCCCTATATCACTTTGCCTGAGAATCTTTAGTGCTTTTTATACGCAGCAAGCTGCTACTGAGGCTGCAAGTGAAGGACAGTCACTCACCCAAGAAAAGGACCACAAGATAAAAAGGAGTAGTTTGGCGGGGAAGAATATTGTATTGTAAAAGAAAAACAAAAAACAAATTAAAAAACACCTGAAAATTTCATGCATAAATTGGCAGACAGATGAAGTGACGATTATTAAAGTTTATAATTAAATCTCAGGGATCTTACCATGCTGCAAATTGCCGTGCAGATGATTGACAAACGCCGTTAGTATAGTTGCCACATTCATTATTTGGGAGCACTGAGCAAGACCAAGGGAAAACAGTTCGTTCCAGCAAGCTTTCACTAAAGAGGTACTAACCTCCTGCCTGATGAGAGACACAAACATCACATTTACATTATCAGTGGCCAACTCACTATCCCCAAGAGGCAAAGAAGATACTAGCTTTATTTGGCATAGCAGTCAACAATTAAACTATAGCTTTTAATAGTTTTTCTGTAACTTGTAAGCTTTATTTGTTGCACAGTATGCAGTCTCATTTATCATTGCTTATAGAAGGGACTGTTCTATGGTGCCCCAAAACCACCAGTTAGCTTTCAACCTTCACTTGGTAAAGGCAGCTGAAGAAACTAATATTGGTGCGGGGGAAACTTTTCACTTAACAAGTAAACTGTAATAATTTGCGTTCATCATATTTTTAAAAGGTTATATGATTTTAAAGTATTGTTTTATATTTTCAGTTTACAGATTGTACACAATGCTTATTTTAGGGTCTTTACTATAAGGTTTGCATAGAATCTTTATTTTACATATAAACATTCATTACAAGTTCAAGGATTTCCAAAAACCTACAGAAACTACACAACAGTAGCTGCCTGCCTTGAGGCGTGGTTTGTCTGTTCAAAACCTCCTATGGAATTGTCCAACAAAAGGTTCAGAGACTCTCCGACCTCATTTAGGGGAGCAGAATCAGTTTGCTCAGTGGGAGATCTATTCCCTGATCTGTCCACCGATCCCCCCCGCTAAGCAGAGCGGAATAGGGAAAATGACAGGTCTGTGTTCGCTCTGCTTATGAGGACACAAATTTGTTTAAATCCGCAGCTCCATAAAGGAGAATGGAGGGTCTGATCGGGTCTGCCTGAAAAACAGACAGGCAGACCTGATCATATTGACCATGTGAAAAGGGCCTTTTGTGAACTATTGAGCTCTGTAAACAGAGACTATATTAAATAAAGCAAATATATAAAAATAAAACACATTTTCAGGTAAAAGTCTTGTCTACAAGATTCTTGCTAAAAGTAACCTTAGCGTGCCTCCTTTGAAACTAGTTTCAGTTTGTTACAGAGACCTAACTTCATAGCCAAGTTCCCCAACTGCCATCACTGCGTCCAATAAGAGTTCCCAACAGGCTGAAAAAACATACGAATTATTCTATATATCTATTCTATAGCACATTATGTGGTGCCTTTAAACTGAGCTCCAGACATCTATATAACACAAATTAATACAGTACTAAATTAAAAATCACCAAATGTATAATATTTAAAATCCAACCTGTTTAGGAATTTCAATTTATAGGATATCGGTCTCCTGTAAGGTCCTAAACAGAAGTATTCATATTTGGAGAGGGAAGACCAGCACTTTAAGTCAGTCAGGCTCTGTTGCAGTGCACATGTGCTGACATGAAATATGCAGACAGCAAGAGAGCACAGGGATGACTATCAGTGCGCTGCTACTCATGCTAATGCTACTGCAATGGAGGTCAAGCATCTGAATGGATTGTCTGACAGGAGTGCCAGGATCACAAAACTGAGTGAACAAAATTACAAATCTTTTTGACAAATAAACAGTTCTCATATATGTATTTACTGCCCTGGAGTTAAGCTTTTTTAAATGTTAGGAATCATGTTACAACTCCATAGTTTGCCATGTGATCTCTTTATTTCCTCTCAGAAACCTTCTGCTGTGTCTGTGCTTTTTAAATGCACTCAAACAGCTGAGCAGTGTAACTCAACAAGACATATGTAACATCATTAAAGGCATTACAAGACATATAACCATACTGTATTTTATCCAAACACAAAAACAAGTAATATCAAAATGTTTGTTTTACCATTTATTGTCTGATAAAAGATACCATACTAACCCAAGCGCTTGGAAGGCGGGAATAGAACGAGCCCAATGCATGGACAAAAACAGCAGGCGTGACGCAGACTCACAAATATAGTGTACATTCAGATATTCAGGCATTGGTGAAGGCATTGTGAGCTAGAAAAAAAAAAAAAGAAAAAAGGAACTACTAATTAAATGTATTTAAAAAGTATTTTTGGACATGTATTTCAAAAGCATTGCCAATATTATTTCAAGTAAGTTAACTTCTTAAAAAACAAAAAATGTTGTGGTGGGATATATTAGGCAGTAGGTAAACATGTTGTCCCTGAAGTTGAGGTGTTATAAAAAGAAAAAAAAAGAAGAATGTAAGAATTTGACAAGGGTCAAATTGTAATGGCTAGATCCATGCTCCAATTGAGCATCTGTGCGATTTGCTAGAAAAACACAATCCACGGGAGGCCCCACCTGGCAACTTACAGGACTTAAAAGCATCTGCTACTGATTGCTTGATGCCAGATACCATAGCCTACCTTAAGAGATCTAGTGGCCTTGATGGGTCAGGGAAGTTTTGGTGGCAAACGGGAGACCTACTCAATACTAGGTGGATCATGAGAATGTTATGGCTGATTGGTGTAAATACTTACTTTCTTCAGGCTGCTCTGGTCCAGTCATGAGATCCCCCTGTGTCAATCGGCAGCAGCTACAGGGAAGAGGAGACAGCACTCCAACGACGGCTGGTTATACCTGGAGTAGTGACATCACCCATAGGCTTCAATGGCCTATCTGTTGTTGGCACGCCTTCCTCTCCCATAAAGCCATGCTGGCTTACACAGGGGAGTAAGGTCATATGCCCGGACCAGAATGGCCTGAAAATAGGCAAGTATATACATCTTTCTTTGACAGGTTAATAGGCATTAGGATGAGGGAGTGGACAGTTTTAATAGATTTCAGCTGGAGTTCCACTTTAATTGTCTAAATTTATCTTGACATCATTCACTCTAATGTCAATCCAGTATTGTGTTTCTCTGTGACAGACACGAAAATAAACAAATCCATGTGACCAAAGTCACCAACAGTGCAGTCTTTGAACAAAGATACTGCACTACTGTGGACCTCTGTGTTTATGTTCAAATTATTTACTGTGTGCCTGAAGGGTACTTTGGATCCTAAGCAGTACAGAGGGCCCTGATCAACGTTCATACGAGCATTAAAACATTTCTCCCTTATACTACTAATTTCCATCCCAACATTTATAAAATACCATAGCCTCTACTGCTAGAGCTTAGCAGTTGTGTACCTATTGGGCGCAGTGTACAGCTATATATAGTTTTCCAAACTTACCCTAGATGGAAACTATTTTAACCACTTGACCTCCAGAGGATTTACCCCCCTTAATGACCAGGCCTCTCTTTCCTACTCGGCGCTGCACTAATTCAACTGATAATTGCGCAGTCATGCAATGCTGCACCCAAACGAAATTTACGTCCTTTTTTTCACACAAATAGAGCTTTCTTTTGGTGGTATTTGATCACCTGTGCGCTTTTTATTTTTCACGCCATAAACAAAAAAAATGCCAAAAATTTTGAAGGAAAACAATATTTTTTACTTTCAGCTATAAAAAATATATAGTAAACTCAAAGTTGGTTATAAATTTAGGCCAAAATGTATTCTGCTACATGTTTTTGGTAAAAAAAATCCCAATAAGTGTATATTGATTGCTTTGTGTGAAAGCTATAGCGTCTACAAACTATGGTATGGATACTGCAATTTACGCCATTTTTTTGCTATACAGCACTGCGCTAGTTTAACAGACAATTGCGCGGTCATGCAATATGGTACATAAATGAAATTTACATCCTTTTTTTTCCCCACAAATTGAGCTTTCTTTCGGTGGTATTTGATCGCCTGTGCGGTTTTTATTTTTTGTGCTATAAAAAAAAAGGCTGACAATTTTGAGGAAAAAAAAAACAATATTTTGGACTTTTTGCTATAAAACATGTCCAGTAAAAAAAAATTAAAAAATCAAATTTAGTCATAAATTTTCTGCCAAAATGCATTCTGCGACATGTCTTTGCAAAAAAAAAAAAAAAAAAACCCAATACGTGTAAATTAGTTGGTTTACGTGAAAGTTATAGCGTTTACAAATGGCGGGAAAGATACTGGGATTTTTAGTTTTTTTTTATACTAATAATGGCGGCGATCAGCGACTTATGGCGGCGATCAATGACTTATGGCGGCAATCAGCGACTTATGGCGGGACTGTGGCGGACATTCTGACATTGGGGGGTACTGACTTGGGGTCACTGACATCCCCAGTGACACCAATACAGTGATCAGTGCAAAGAAAAAAAACACTGACACTGTACTAATGGCACTGGGGAGGAAGGGGTTAACTTTATTTTTCAGGGAAGGGTTATCTGTGTGAGAGGGAGTGTTTTACTAGGGGGCAGGGGTGTGTGCTGGATGGGGACAGGCTGATCGGGAGAGAGAGAAACTCTTCTGTCCCGTTCAGCATGTCCTCGAGCTGTCAGGGAAGTGACAGAAAGCACAGCTACTGCCGATCGCCGGGAGATAGCTGGTAAGGACCGGCTGTGACCCGGCGACTGACATCCGCGGCTGTGATCGGCGGGACAGGTAGGGCGGCGGCGCGCCTCGCGCGTGCCCCCTACCTGTTTACAAAACACACGTTTTAAAACGTGATTTTGCCTGCCCGTGCCGCCCTGCCAACATATTTATACATGGGCTGGGCGGCATATGGTTAATCCACCCAGTAATGTGTATTTCCACGTTCTAAACAGGTGTTTATGCTCAAATTATTGTGTAGTTCTCTCTTGAACTAGTCAAAAAAATACTCTTAAACTTAGTAATTTTTCTTCTGAAGTGAGGACAAGTAGCGCAAAACAATGTGAAATTGTGGTTGTAATAGAAACAATGGTAATCATTACCTTGAAGGCTATGTGAGAATCTGTGAGAAGTGGTCCTTCAATCTCAACAACAGTAGCATCACCAAAGATGTTCGCAGCAGCATCAATGCTTTCTGATGAGCTCTGGACAGAGCTTTCAGTGGGGTTGAGAGCTTTTGCCAGAGTATCAAAGGCTCTACATAACAAAGTAAAATTTTCTTAATAAAAAATAAATGCATTTACTAAACATGCAGCAAATTGGTTAGTTACCAAATCAACCAAATTTCTACAGGTGAAATCAATTACTTGCTGCATTCAGTTTTGTCCAGGCAAGAATTTTTTTCTAATGCCATAATTATAGACAATTAACAGTACCTGGTGACTTCACTGCTTGACTGGTCATCTTGTGGAAGCTCTGATAGTGAAGCATCTCCATTACTTAAACTTTCCATGATAGACAATTCTGTGCTCGACTGGGACAACTCTTTTGTTTTATTAAGATTTGCAAGTGATGTGACAACATTGGCCAAAGTGCTTAGATCTCCCTGACAGGCTTCCACCTGATAACAAAATGAGAAAAAACTGCATGAGACTACTGATGGTCACAATTTTTTATAGTACATTGGCAATTTCACAATTAAAGCAAACCCCAAGTATTAGCAAAAATTGAATAGTGTCCAGGACTGGAAGAAAAGCCCTTTGTTATTTGATCTCCTCATGCACCGCATTTCTGTGCTTTCTTAGTGTTGATTGAAAGGCAATCCTTGACCAAGACTTTCGCACTCAAAGTTTGCAGGATGATGAAAACAGGCTAAACGTTATGCCTCCTCTCCTATTGCTGAAATTTTTTATAAAATCTATGTCACAGCTAGGCAAATTTTACACTTGCATGTCTTTGAGGCCACCAGGCCTGACCTGTACAAATATAAATAAGGCTAGGTTCATACTCATGCGGTGCGGTACATCCTGTGCAAATCACATGCGAATTGTGTGTGGTGCGATTTAAGCCTACATTATGTATGGCTCAAATCGCACCACATCCGCACCAAAAAGGTGCAGGACCCTTTTTTGGGTTTGCACTAGAATCGGATCATATGGGTTTTCACACCTATGCGATCCGATTCTGCACATCGCACTGCAGTTTGTGGACCGATTTCGGGGTGTTGTTAACATACACACCCGCAGCGGTTTGCATGAACGGGGTGGGATTCTGATGCAGTGCGGAATTCACACAGAAAACGCTGTGCATTCCAGACCGCATCAGTGTGAACCCAGGCTTAGAGTTTTTTTTAACAGGAGGATAAAAACATCAGGTCACTAGCCATATTGTTAAAAAAATGACAGGCTCCTAACCATTGTCTCTAAACTTCGAAATCGAAGGTCACACAGTTACATCCCAAGGACATATTCTTTTTGAGTTCACCAACTCTTTCACTGGCATACCTCTTCCCTGCCTTCAACTTTTGAATCCTCTAATTTTACTTCCCTCTCGAACCCCATGTTAAGATGGCTCTTTGATGTTTAAAGGGCCTTTCTCGCACAACTTATTACGGATCTTGAGGTCCTTACAACTATTCAGCTATTTCCAATTGGTAAGGCTCATGGTCCTAACAGTATTCCCATGGAACTTTATAAGACCCTCACAATGACATTAGCACCCAAATTGGCTACCACACTCACCGCCTGTGTGGACAAATTTGCCTCCCTCAATTCTAGACTTGCTCCATACCTCGACAGGACCAGACCAAATGAGACTTATCTCAAGCAAATCTACCAATATAAATATCAGCAGTTTGTTTACGAATATTCATGCTCAGCACATCAATATGGGTTCTAGGGCTATACACTGGAAATTGAGAAGGCTTTTGACACTGTAGAATGGTCAAACTTGTGGGAGGTCCCGAGAAAGATTGGGGTTTCCACTTCGTTTTATTGCTTGGCTACAAGTGTTATGTAGGGGCCCAGTGGTGTTTCTCATATCTCACAATGCTGGGGAGTATGTTGCATTCAATTTGTTGCCTGTATTATAGGAAGCTAGGACAAGGTGAAGGCATGGAGCAAACTGCCGTTATTCCTCCTTGGCTGAATCAACCTTGTCAAAATGAAAAAATTCTTTCCCAATTCCTTTATTTCACAATTCACCAATCTGGATCCCCAAATCCTTCTTTACCCAACTCTGCCAGCCATTTACCTACCTATGGGGCTCTCAAGCTCCAGGTTACAAATGTTCTACTCTGATTAGACCAGCTCTACGGGGTAAACTGGCTACCTCATTGGTCCATGCTTGCTGGTGGCTACAGCCAAGTGTTAATAACTCCTCAACGTTGAAAGCCAACAATTTACATTCGCTCAAAGCTCTCTAGTCATTTTTGTATGTGGTCTGAAGGCTCCATGCCATCTTACTCAAACCTGTTGCTGTACCAGGACACTAACCACCACAAGGAATGCCAAAATACAATTCCCAAAAATTTGGCCCAGTGGGCTTGGACAGAGTGGGCAACTTTATGGTACCTCGGACATGTTTACTTTTACCTATACAAATCACTTGGTTTTTGTTGTGCAGTATTTCTGTTTTCACAAGTGGACTTCCCCTGTGTAGGTTAAGACCCTTGCTTTCATATGCTCATTTTCTAAGCAACAAAAAAAGTGATGCTTTTAAACTGGCTAGACATCTACAAAAAACCCCAATATAGCCACTGACTCCACCTCCCCTGCGGCACACTCTCGTCTGGACCCATTCACCCAGATCGAGCGGTCGTAGAGGTGGTGGGGTCGGATGGCTCTTGTCACCGCTGAGCACCTTCCAGGTCCTCCCAAACCCCCCCTCTCTATCCTTCAAGGCCCACACCTCTGAGGATTGCAGTAACTTATCCCGCTTCCTTGACGACTTTTCCGCCTGGCTACCCTTCTTCCTCTCCTCTGAGCTACCCACCATAATCCTTGGTGACTTCAATATCCCCATCAACGTCAACAACCAGGCTACATCCCAACTCCTCCACTTAACCTCTTCTTTTGCACTCACACAGTCCTCCATCCACACCAACATGAACACCCTGGACCTGCAGCTGACCGTCAACAGATACAACAGTATCCTTCCACTGTCCTGCCCTGGCCACTACTGCGTATAACAACTTGCTGTCAGCTGCCTTAGATTCTATAGCACCCCTAACCACACGCAGCATTAGACCCCGACCGCTTCAACCCTGGCAGAACGACCACACCAAAAATCTTAAACAACGCAGTCGCACGCTGGAGCGTTCACCCTTTACAAATCCGCCTTCCTCACCTACACCTCCTCCCTCCATGCCTCCAAAAAAGCCTACTTCATAACCCTCATCAATACCCTCTCCACCTGCCCTCGTCGGCTCTTCTCCACTTTCAACTCCCTACTCTCCCCCCCCCACCTCCACCCACTACCTCACTCACTGCCCACGAGATTGCCAACCACTTCCAAAACAAGATCGACGCAATCCATAAAGACATCACCAATGCTCAATCTACCTCTCCACCAAGCCTCCCTCCCACGATAACCCCCTCAACTCTCCCCTCCTCTGACCCCGCAACTACCCTGACCCCCACCACACCTAACATCCCGCACACTATAACCTCCCCGGCACTCTACTCCTTTAGCCTTGCTACCATTGAAGAGGTCACTAAGGCCTTCTCAGAAGACCGCCTCACCACTTGCCCCCTTGACCCTGTCCCCACACAACTCCTCCGGTCTCTTTCCTCCTCCATCCTACGCTCCCTCACCCACATCTTCAATCTCTCCCTCTCTACTGGCGCATTCCCCTCCCCCCTAAAGCATGCGCACATCACTCCCATACTCAAAAAACCATGCCCTGGACCCCACCGACCTGAGCAACCTTAGACCCATCTCCCTGCTTCCATTTTCATCCAAACTCCTCGAGCACTTAGTCTACAATCGCCTAAGCTCCCACCTCAATGACAACAACCTCCTCGATTCATTACAGTCTGGCTTCCGTCCCCTACACTCCACCGAAACCGCCCTACTCAAAATCACTAATGACCTGCTAACCGCCAAAGCTAATGGCCACTACTCAGTCCTACTCCTCGACCTCTCTGCGGCCTTCGACACAGTTGACAACCCCCTCCTCCTTAATAAACTATACTCCCTTGGCATCAGAGGCTCCACTCTCTCCTGGCTCTCCTATCTATCCCAACGCTCCTTCAGCGTTACCTATAACGCTGCCACCTCCCCCTCTCTGTTGGGGTCCCCCAAGGCTCTGTCCTCGGGCCCCTCCTCTTCTCCATCTACACCTCCTCCCCTGGCCAACTGATACACTCCCACGGCTTCAACTACCACCTCTACGCCGATGACACGCAAATCTACCTCTCTACCCCTCGCCTCACCCCTTCAGTCTCCGCCCGAATCACCTGCCTACTGAACAACATATCAGACTGGATGTCACTCCACTTCCTCAAATTAAACCTTTCCAAAACCAAGCTCCTAATTTTTTTCCCCAGCCCGCACCCCCACCCCCCCCCCCCCCCCCCCCCCTCCCATCACGACCAACAATGCCACCATCAGTCCCACCCCGCAACCCAAAGTCCTAGGTGTCACTCTAGACTCAAATCTGTCCTTCCAACCCCATGTCCAATCGCTGGCAAACTCATGCAGCATCTCCAAAATACGTACGTTCCTAACCCCAGACACTACTAAACAACTCATTCACTTCCTTATTATCTCACGACTCGACTACTGCAACTCCCTCCTCACCGGCCTACCTCATCGCAGACTATCCCTGCTTCAGTCTATCCTGAACTCAGCGGCCAGACTCATCCACCTTACCAACCGCTCCGCATCTGCCACCCCCTCTGTCATTCCCTCCATTGGCTTCCGATTGCCCAACGCATTAAATTCAAACTACTAACATTGACGTACAAAGCCATTCATATCGCTGCCCCAAACTACCTCACTGACCCGATACCCAAATACCACCCTACCCATAATCTTCGCTCCTCACAAGACCTCCTACTTTCTAGCTCCCTGGTCTCTTCCTCCCACGCCCGACTGCAGGACTTCTCCAGGACTTTCCCCATCCTCTGGAACTCACTACCCCAATCCATTAGACTGTCACCTACCGTCCTCACCTTTAGGCGCACCCTGAGAACTCATCTCTTCAGGGAAGCCTACCCCACCCTCACCTAACATCTGATCTCCTCCCTTCCTCCCAACACTCCATCCCCCACAGCCACTTCCTCCTGTACCACTCTCCCCTCCCTCCTAGATTGTAAGCTCGAAAGAGCAGGGCCCTCGAACCTCTCGTATATTGTCTTGTTACTGTATTGTCTCATGTACTGTCCCCCACTATATTGTACAACGCTGAGCAAGCTTTTGGCGCTATATAAACACTGTATAATAATATTATCATTATTAATAATAATAATGATACTTTTACACTGGCCTACCGGCACCTACCGGCAACTCAGTGTCTCATCGATTTGTTTTACCCATTATAACAACTGTACATTTGTACTCTGTCCCAGCTGTACACATGAGCAAGTCATTTAGATTAGAAGTTGTATATCAGGTTCCTGGTACATCCATGGATCCAAGAACTAATTAAAGGGAACACCAGAAACAGCTAAATCATTATTGATTGTTTTACCTACCAAATGATTTGTAATTTTGCTCAACCATTCTTGTGATGCACACCTTTGTTAATTATGAAAATATTACTCTTACTTCCTGCCTTAGGATTACGGTTTCCAAGGGTTTGTCAAGTACCAATTTATAGTTCAAGGCTCCACTGAATGTAAAGACTCCTCCTCTGTTCAAGACTCCTCTGACAGTTATATGTCACATACTTCAAATACCTGGCTCTGCTTTGTAGCCATTTAGCAGTCATTTTAGAAAGTACATAGCCAATTATCTCCAGAACAAAAAGCAGGTAGAAATCTGGAATAAAGTTTGCTAAACTCCTTGCAAAATATGTGGCCTATCTGAAGGTTAAACATTTAGGAAAACAACTCAATAAAAACAAAAAGAAGTAAAATAGAACTGCTCCTTAAAGTGCATTTTCACTGTTCTAGCTCACAGGAGACCCAGAGCAGTGGGAGCCATAAACCTTTGCTGCTGTCAATCAAACATGTTATGTGGGGGGCATGACTGAACCTCACTGTGTGTCTATGGACCCAGCTTGGCTTAGGAGTGAGCCCATATTGAGAAAGAACAATGAGCTCACAGTTGCCTGGCGGGGGACTCCAGAAGAGGAGGCAAGGGGTATCTCTGTGCAATATCGTTGCACAGAACAGGTAAGTATAACATTTTTTTTTATTTCAGCCCCCCAAAAAAAAACCTTTAATATCACTTTAAGAGGATAGATAGGAGATTATACAAGTTATTTTTTTGTTACAGTTACAGTGTAACAATGTAAATGACTGGGGCTTATTTACTAAATGAGTAGTGACTGTTCACTTATTAAAGTGAATATTCCCTTTGAAAAGGGAATATTCACTTAGATTAGTAAATAGGGTGAAGCTGTTTTTACTTTGAATACCCAGTCATGTAAATTAGAAAAAAAAAAAAAAAGGGGATTTTTGCTTGCACCCGAGTGGAAAAAAACCCCAAAACACTACTTTTACAGGTGTTTGACTATTTTTCAGCCTGTAAAAGCAGCTTCATGTTAGCCTAGGTGTCAACACATAGGAATTTACAGAAGTATTAGAAGATGAGCAATTAAAAAAAAAAAAATCAAAATCATCAAGGCGTTCGGGAAAGGAGCTGAAGAGCAGGAAAAACGCCAGGCGCATCTAGACATTAATGCATTTTAGTGGCCAGAATAAATAACAACGCTCAAATGCCTGATGCAACTAAAAACACGTGCAATATGCAGATTTATGCTTTTTAAGCAGCTTTTCTCCTGCCAGGGGTTCTGGCATTCAGAAGAGAAAAGCAAACATCCGGTGTTCATGAGCCCTAATGGTTTTTTGGAAGAAATTTCCTAGTGTTATTTTTAATCATTCACATACAGGACATAGGTCTGGTGTAACCTTTGTTTTACAGATTGGACATGACTTTCCTCATTTGGATTTCTCCCACTTCACTGTCTAGTATCATGCTCTTTGTGATATTTGGAGAAGATAAGCTTACCTTATCATGTGTAATAAGCACAGGTTCGGTTTTAATTGCAGATGGCTGTAAGTTAACCAACACTCCAGGGTCCAACAAACCACTGGACCTGCAAACAAAAAGTAAAATGCACATTTTTTCAGCTTATTTTATTTATATTTATATACAGTGTGCACGCACACTTGTTTTTTTTTTTGTTTGTTTTTTTTTTTTTTACAAAGCATTCAAGGTACATAAAAAGTTTCATGTTTCATACGTGTATCTTATGGAAAAAACCGTCCTCTGTACTTCCCTCTCATTTAATTTCACTTCGTCAATAGGTGCCAGACTTTTGGCATAAGCCCCACTAATTGCCATTCCTCATGTAGTGACAGTACCCTTAACCCTTTTACTGCCACCGCTGAATGTCTTACGGCAGTGTCAACGGGTTAGCGGGTGATACACACTCTACAAGCCGACTGTCTACAGATCTGAACACAGGTGCATTGTTGGCTAAAGAACAATGCACACAGCTGCATAAAGATCAGCAACACAGCCCTGAGCACAGACCATAGAATCAAAAATGGAAAACTTTACGTTTGAGTGCAACAATTTATACACACAAACACACACACATTCATTGCAACATTGATAATTAGAGGAGGATAATGATTTCTACACATCTGCACGTATGCGTTTATACAAGGTATTTACAAAACATTTTTACATTTTTCTGTCAACCAGATCCTGAGTGTAAACATCAGTAAATTATTATGTCTGTGTGCAGCTGGCCTAATGAAAGCAATCTGGCAGCTGTGCAGCTGCCGGATCGCTTTCTGTAACTCTGCAACCCCCAGAGTGTGCCCCCCCTGGCGAACGAGGGAAATGGAAAGCAGGTGAGACATGAGGGGTCTAAAAGAGAACGTCTTAAAAATATTAAAATCACACATATCCCCTATGTGAAAAATTTTAAGTTTTGGAAAAAGTAAAACAAGAAAAAAAAAAAAAAAAAAGTAAAAAAATCAAGAACTTAAACCCCCCCAAAAAATGTTAGTCTACCTTGTCCTGCACATGCACAACATGCAAACATAAACACACCCATTCGGGATGCCTACATATGAAAATGTCCCTTTTCATACACGTTTCATATCACTGTGCATGCCAGACTGACAGAAATAGTTCTAGACCCATGATTCAGGATTAGCTCTAAACCTGATGACTTGTAAAGGCCTTTAAAGTGTAGCCCATGGAAAATATGGCGTACCAAAGTTTTCTGTCACTTTGCATGCCTGAACTTAAAGCTTGAAATGTTTGGTATTTCGTTACTCTGTGCAATCACACCTTTTATATTTTAACAAAGCTACATTTACCAATTATGTTGTCATGAAAAATTGCACACACACCATCCAAGACCACTTTGATTTCGATTATGCGCCCTAAATGTCATGTTGTGTAATCCTATATGCTCAAAGTTCCATTTGTGTTTCTGTGCATTGTTTATGTAAAACCTGTTTCAGCAAAAATCATTTTGAAACATAAGAAGGGAAGACAGTTTGGCAAGGTTCAGATCAAACACCTCTGGTAACAAAATGAAACGAAAGCAGTGAGGCACACATTTTTTTTGGCAAAAAAAAAAGAAAAAAAAAAAAGGAAGGCATTTTATAACTGCTTTGTGTTCAGAAGGGTTTTTAGTTTAACTGGTTTTCGCTCTAATTCTGGGAAGACGTCATATAATGATATAATGTCCTTCCATTTGTGTCGCACATGGGTGCCGGGGGGCTCAGCATAGTGATCGGAGGGGAGTTGTGTCCTCGGACACAGCGCATCACCGATCAGAATAAAGAGCCAATGACGTTAGCTCTTTACCATGTGATCAGCTGTGTCTAATCACAGCTGATCACATTTAAACAAATGCTGGTTATCAGCATTTCCTTTCCTCAGTGCTACCACAGTGCCCATCAGTGCAGCCTATCAGTGCTGTCTATCAATTCCCATCAGCGCAGCATCATCAGCGCACATCAGTGAAAAAAAAATTACTTATGAGCAAAATTTTATAACACAAAACTTTTTTTTTTCCCTTCAAAATTTTCGGTCTTTTTTTGTTTAACAAAAAAAAAAAAAAAAAAAAAAACTAGTGGTGATCTAATACCACCAAAATAATGCACTATTTGTGTGAAAAATTTCAACTTGCTACAGCACTGAAAGCTAAAACCTGACCTGGGCAGGAAGGGGGTGAAAGTGCCCAGTATTGAAGTGGTTAAAATGGCCGACAGGCTTGCTTTACAGACAAAGATCTCAATGCAAAGAACAGCAACTGATTGCTACATGAAATACATCTTACACATAAATACATGCTATTAAAAGACGCACCTTGCAGTTTTATTATCAGTTACAAAAGTAGCTGTTGCAGCAAGAGGGCTGCGCAAGTCTTTTCTGATGTAGATCTTTTCTGTGGATGCAGCACAGTTGGAGGACTTTTCTCTGGAGACCTCAATGGGCTTTCTCTCACACTGAACAGCTAGAAAACATAATCAGATGTGGTTAATTTGTAAAATACACAACATGAGTTCATTCCCACCAGATGTGCTTAAAACACACAAATAAATGCGCAGTTCATGAAACTGTCTGTCTTGAGTTTTAAATATGGTGCATTTTAAAGCATTCCATTTAAATTATTTGAATGAAAAAAGCAAGACAGCACACCAGAAATGCTGCATGCAGGGCTTTTTTCCAGTAAGCTTCAACGAACATGTTTGGTTAGAATGTGCTCAACCAAAATCAGTATAGCCTTCATCATGTGCTTGGACCTTCTGGAAAATGGAGAATCATTCATGACAACAAAGCCAACTTTAACAAATTCAAAAACAAAAATGTGCACATACTGTAAGTTTATCATCTGCTGTTCACTAGTTATGAGTTATAGATAAGAAAGAAACCAGTATAGGTGAAATACTTACAATCTTGCTTCATTCCAAGTGCAATACACCTTTGTAATCGGCAGTACTGACATCTGTTGCGGTAGTGCTTATTGATAACACAATCTTTTGATCCTCTGCATGCATATACCAAATTTTTTCTAATACTTCTTTTAAAGAAACCTTTGCAGCCCTCACATGTTACTGCCCCATAATGTCGCCCTGAAAGAACATAACATGAAGGCAAGAGCTAAGTTTTTTTGCAGGGACAAAACTTTACTATCACTACTGCAATCCATTCTGAGAAAGGATAAAATACAGTCCTTTCCAGCTATACTGACTCCAATATATCGTGGCACATTTTTATATTTGACCAAAATCATCAGTTAAAAAGGAATCGGCTACTTTGCCCCCCCCCCTCATCTGTAAGAGTGATAGTAATAAAACCCTGTCTAAGCTCCATGTTGGCACCTACATAGGGTTACTGACCCGTTTCCTGTGTATAACAGTGTTTGGGTCTGGAAATCTGTATTTTGCCATTTGAGCCTATCCCTAGTCTCCAGTTGGAATCATGCCCTAATAAGCTGCACCACATAAAGCAAATCCCTCTGATGGAGAATAGAGATGGTCTGAAATAACCAAGACACAGAGCCTTAGCATATAATAACAGGAAAGGCAAGGAACATCACAATTTATTCTAAAAAGACTTGGTTTGGAATAAAAGTACAGCGATTAAGTTGAATACTTTAACTATCTCATAGCCTCCTTAATTGGCTTAAACTCAATAAAAATACGTTTTCCCTATATGTGGTCTGAGAACACATACCTGAAGCTTTATCGCCACACACCACACAAAGATCCAGAAGCGGCTTATTTAAATTCTGATCTATGCACTGGGAGTCTGATAATATCTGAAATAAAACAGAATTAGCACAGATACTTGGGCAAATGTATAGGATTTTGTAACAGCAAATTGTTCTGCAAAAAAGAAAGGTTTTCTACTACACAAACATTAAGAAAAATAAATGATTGGCACATTTCTATAAAAATCTATATATTTGGGTACTGCATACTCTAGTTATTGAACTTTCTGAAAAGAAAGTATGTTTATGCCTCCACTATTCTATACCTCTCACACAGAGGGCCACCCTCAGAAATCATAGGTCCCCTTGTTATACCACAGCCTCTTATTCTACGTTACATAAAGTAACATCCTGTAACTATTTTGTTCTTACAGTTTTTCAGCTCCAAAATTACAAGCTTATTAACCACCTTTATAATGTATATAGTGCAACAACTCTAATTTAAATACATTCCTTTAAATTTTACATTGCTATTCAGATACAAGATTGACAATTAAGGGTTGAAAGGTGAATTCCAGGAATTCAGCCACTTTGATAAATGTGCAGGCATACTAATTTACAGCTGACAGTTTTATGGAGCTCCCAAAAGGATAGGTACATTACACTCCTAGGCTCTGAGAGGAAAGATGCTTCACACACAGCATCTCTGCCCTGCTACCCATTCACAGAAGCATTTGTATTTTGTGACACATAATACAAAGCACTCTGTGACTGGGCAGAAGGAGGGGAGGGGTGTGCACAGCAGCTGCATGCAACTCTGCAGCTGAAGGAACTGAGACCAGAAGCTCCAAAGTTGGAGCTGTAAAAGGGTAGCAATAGCTCCCTCTCTGAGTTCAATAAAACTTTCAGGTGAAAATTAACTACTTGGTAACCACACTATAGCCAAATGACAGCTACAGCGTAGTTATCCAGTTTTGGGAGGGTGTCAAATGACGTGCTCCCAGAACGCACCGTGCCGCATGCCCCCAGCAGCGCGTACCCAGCGATCTCTATGATCGCTGTGTCCTACGGACACAGCTATTAACGTGATAACGTAAAAGGCCAATCAGAGCGGCCTTTTACCACATGATCATGGATTAAATACAGTTGCCAGTTATCGGCAGCACTTTCCTCACGCTGTCACAGCACGAGGAAGGTACTGCCAATAACCAGCAGCTGTCACAGAGCAGATCGGCACTGATGATCAGTGCCACCCAACATTGCCCAGCAGTGCCTCCCACGAGTGCTGCCCAGAAGTGTCACCCATCAGTGCCGCCTCATCAGTGCAGCTGCTGTGCCACCTCACCAGTGCTGCCTATCAGTGCTGCCCATCAGCACTCCTTTCCCTTGCACAGGGGTACACGTCAGGGATGTCCCCTCTCCCCTTTGCCTTGGCGATTGAGCCTCTTGCCGAGACTATTCGTTAATTGTCCTCCATTGTCGGTTTTAGATGGGGAGTAGGGGAGGACAAAATTGCCCTGTATGCGGATGATGCACTGTTGTTTCTGGAGGACACGGCTTCATCCCTATCTATTCTTATGTCCATTATAACAAGATTTGGTTCCTTTTCTGGATTTATGATCATCAATTGGGACAAGTCAGTGTTTCTTCCCCTAGATTTTCAACATATAAGATTGCCCCCATGTGCTAGACAGATTGAAATTGTGCCCAAACTTAAATACCTGGGAGTTTGGGTCCACTCTAATATAGAGGATTACCTACGTTGTAACCTACAACCCCTAATAGATAAATTAAAATGTAAGGCATGGTGCAAGCTCCCCCTGACCGCTGTGGGCTGGACGAATCTCATTAAAATTATTTGGGCCCCACAATTACTTTATGTATTGCACAACTCCCCTATCCGGATTAGTAAGCATTGATTTAAAAACAGACTCCCTTTTTTCGGAATCCCTTTTGCCTATTTTACAACTGCCCAAAGATAGTGGGGGCCTTGCCGCCCCCTCAGTAGGAGTATACTTTCCAGCAGCTCAACGGCAACACTTTTCTGTCTGGGGGGTTGTTCACCCTGAAGATCCTATACAAGCCATACTATTGTCTAGGGCAGGCAAATACTCCTTGGTGGCCCAGATGGAGGCAGGGAGATACCCCACTTTAGTTCTTATGATCAATGTATGGGAGGAAATGAAGAGGATCATGAGATATGTGGGCATGACACATTATTTGCCTTTGTGGGAGAGGGGGCAGTTGGCAGAGATACAGAAGTTGCAGGGCTTCGAGGGAAAGTATGCTAGGGGCCTTCTTTTTCTACATCAGTTATACGTTGATCATGTCAAATCCTTTCAGGATTACTGAGGGAATTTGGCCGTCCACCTGAAAGGTTCTTTCATTATCTCCATCTTCAGCATGCCCTATCAGTACAATCTAAGCAGAATAACCTTAAACAGGTGTCCACTCCACTTATTGATCAGATAGCATCCACTACCAACAAGAGGGGACTTGTCTCGTCCTTATACCAATCACTACTTTACAACACGTTCAGCTTTATGGTAGGACAGGGTGGGGCCAAGGATATTAATTCTCTAGATGGGGAAATTTGGCAGGCTATACTGGAACAGGTCCCTCTTGAGTCTCTTTCACCGTCCCAAAGGTTATCCCAGCTTTTTATAATACACAGAGTACACTGAACACTCATTAGTTGTACCAATAGTGGGTGTCGCAGGGAGACCCCGGACTGCTCTAGATGTGGAGGCTGCCCTGCAGACCTTCTGCATATGCTCTGGAGATGTCTAAAATTAGTTAGGTATTGGCATGCTATAATAGATATCATTAGTCAAGCTTTCCAGACACAACTACATAATGATCCACTAACATGCATACTTGGATTCTTGGATGAAGGGAAATTTACTCCCCATGCTTTGACTTCTATTTCCAGACTATTGTTTTTGGCTTGTATTTACTGAAATTGATCTCCCCATTACCTCCAACCCCTGAGTTCTGAAGGGAGAAGGTTAATCTCACTCTACTTCAGGAGCGACAAATTTTGTTGCAACGAGGTACTTCTTGCAAATTTAATAAGCTATGGGGCCTGACTACAAGTTCCAGGTTTAGCTCCTCTGTCCCTGTTGTTGTTGTTACAAATATTTTTGCTAATATATTGCTAAATAGGGAGGTACAGGTGATGGGTGCCCCAGGACTGCTGCAGAGTGCCATGGATGCAGAACAGGGCAATGTCATTATCTTGTGACATGCTTACACATGACATGACAGGCAATACCAGGGCACGCACTTTATGGTTTATTTTTCTTGACAGTACAATGCACGTTATGGGTTTATTTTTTTATGCAATCTCAGGTTCTGCATGAGCTATCTCACACTGTAACAGTTTCGAAGAAATTAGGAAGTTTTCCCAAAGTTGTATGTTATATCGTTTTTTTTCCACTCACTCATACACAGAGCTAGACACATAGTGTGTTGGTACTGTGCAAGTGTATGTTGCTACTGTAAACCATACTCTGCTTGGAGTTTTGTATTCTATTGTTTTCCTTTGTTGCAAATTTTAAAAATTGGAATAAAAATTATTTGGAAAAGAAAAAAAAAAAGAAAACAAAAACTGGAGAATGCAAAATCTGGTGAAACTGTGCTTGGTAGCCAACCAGCTTCTAACTTCAGTTTGTTCAATTAAGCTTTGACAATAAAACCTGGAAGCCAATTGGTTTCTATGCAGAGATGCACCAGATTTTGCACTCTCCAGTTTTAGTAAACCCTGTGTCTTCGCCTGCGAGAGTCAAGATCTGCATTTTCTTTGAAAAGAGAAAGAGGCAGCACTTAAATTACTGAATTCTCTGTTGATCTAAAGGTCATATTACCCAAGTATTTAGAAGTTTGAGAGATTTGCCTTTTTTACGGTCGGAAAACTTCCATCTGCCTTAACACTGTCCTACTACTAACCCACTGTCCTACTAATCTGCTCTGTCAATTTTAGCAAGCCTCCCAAGCACAACAGGTGATTTTAAATCTGGAAGAATGGGCCCTCTATTTGACATATATATGCATAACTGTGCAATAAGTGCACAGTTTCTGATGTGAATAGGCCCTTAAAGGATTGCTCAGCTCTAACTTATTACATTTTTTTGCTTTTGGGTTTAGACATGCTTTAACCACTTTAGGACCGCCCTATAGCAGATATACTGCTACAGGGCGGCACCTAAGCGCAGGATCACGTATATATATGTCATTCTGCATTTCTGGGCGTGCACCCTTCCCACGCCGCCATTCGTGGCCACGGATGTCACTCACCGCGTCCCGGCCAGTAATTACCCGCCGGTGCCTGGTGATTACCGAGCATCTCCGACGGGAAGGAAGATTGTTTTGTTTACAAACAATCTTCCTCCCTGTCGGTTCGAGCACACTGCTCGAGATGGCTGTGCACAGTACAGCCATCCTGATCAGTGTGCTTACAGTGAAGAACACACACACCCCCTGCCCCCTAGTAAAACACTCCCAGCACACAGTTAACCCTTTGATCACCCCTCACATTAACTCCTTCCTGCCCAGTGTCATTAGTACAGTGTCAGTGCTTTTTTTTTTTTAGCACTGATCACTGTATTGGTATCTATACTGCCATTTGTAAACACTATAACTTTCACGTAAACCAATTAAGATACACACATTGGGATTTTTTTTTTTATATCAAAGACATGTCGCAGAATACATTTTGGCCTAAATTTATGATGAAATTGGATTTTTTTTTTTTTTTTTTTACTGAACATGTTTAATAGCAAAAAGTCAAAAATATTGTTTTTTTTTTTTCTCACAATTGTCAGTCTTTTTTTGCTTATAGTGCAAAATATAAAAAACGCACAGGCGATCAAATACCACAGAAACAAAGCTCAATTTGTGGGAAAAAAAGGACGTAAATTTCATTTGGGTGCAGCGTTCCATGACTGCGAAATTGTCAGCTAAAGTAAAGCAAAAAATAGCCTGGTCAGGAAGGGGGGTAAATCCTCAGGAGAGCAAGTGGTTAATGGTTCCTAACATATTTTACTTTTGTTATACAAGAGCCTCAAAAGAATATTAGTAAAATTTGCATACAAAGTGTTCACTTGGGGAATTGCACATTATAGCATATTTTAGAAGTACACACCTGAATGTGCTGTGTAGAAACTTCCGGGCTTGAGAAAAAGAGCTGATTGACACCGGCTGCATCAGGAGTCGTTAAATACACTTTACCCTGACTGGGTTCTTGTCTGGCAAGGATTACTTTGCTCGGGGATGAGCTATCATGATTAGTCAAGATAAACCTTTTACTTGTACCACTCTGATCAAGTGCTGTTACAATTTGAATCTTCTGTCCAGTCTGTTGATCTGTAACAAACTGATAGAGCAAAAAAAAAAAAAGAAGATAGCTTTCTTTTAAAGCGGTTGATAACAGATCATCACAAATACATATAAAATGATAACAGGTAGAGAAAAACTAGGGAGTATTACTACACATTTTCCTCCACTGCACAAATTAACCACAGTAGGAAGAACTTAGTACATTTGGAGCAGCTGTGCATGGCAACCATTCAGATACTTCAGTTAAGCGTTAAAGATGTAAGGCAGAAGTGAATCAGATTCTGTCTACTCCAGTTTTAAGAAATTCACCCAAAAACTCATAATCTCCCTTTGCACCTACTGCATCTTTAGTGTATATGTCAATCACGCACGTCTTAACATTATGATCATTGAACCATTGACAGGTAAAGTGAATAACATTGATTATCTCATTACAAAGCCATCTGGAAGTGGGTGCGATATATTAAGTAGCAAGTGAATATGTTGTCCCTGAAGTTGACATCAGAAAGAGAGGCAAGCGTGAGGATTTGTGCAACTCTGACTAGGGCTAGATGACTGGGTCAGGGTATGTCTAAAACTGCAGCTCTTGTGGGATGTTCCTGGTCTGCAGTGGTCAGGACCTACCAAAAGTAGTCCAAGAAAGGGAAACTGGCAAACTGGCAACAGGGCCATGGGTGGCTAAGGCCTATAGATGCATGTGGGGAACGAAGGCTGGCACATGTAGCCCCTTCCAAGAAAAGGTACTGTACCTCAAACTGCTGAAAAAGTTAATGCTGGTTCCAATAGAAAGCGGTTAGAACACAGTGCATTACAGTTTGCTGCTGATGGGGCTGCGTAGCCGCATACCAGTCAGTGTGACAAGCTGACCTGTGTGCACAGCCAAAAATGCCTACAATGGGTATGTGAGCATCAGATCTGGACCACAGGAGCAATGGAAATGATGAATTCAAGAACGGTCTAAGGAACACAACAAGAAGTTTGAGATGCCTCCAAATTCTGCAGGTCTCAATCCAATTGAGCATTTGTGGGATGTGCTTGAAAATCAAGTACAATCCTTGGAGGTCCCACCTTGCAGTTTTCAGGATCTGCTACCAAAATATAATATATATATATATATATATATATATATATATATATATATATAATATATATCACACACGACTTGAACCTGCATAGTTTGTTAACTAGCTACCTCTATTATAGGTTGTAGTGATTTTGTGTGTTTCAAACACTGATATCGCAACTATTCTGGTATTGAATAAGGCAACAAAAGACAATTTATTACTTTAAGTTGACATTTTAGGTCTATGCTTGTTCAAAGTACCCAATTCGCCAGTCCTGAAGGATGAGTTCTAAGTAGAGGGAAGAAAGAAGAAACTGATGTCATTAGCATATGCGGTTTCCTCCATTCTTAAAATGTCCATAGATACTCACAAACTGTGCAAGCACATACAGCACCATCCATAGCACCATATATTTTCAACTACTAAATAACTATTTTCAACTACTTATTAACTCTCATTACAATATACACAAAGGACATACTTCTAGTATTATCTTTCACTTTTCACTTGGAGTGTCTGCTATCTACCTGTACAATGAAAAAAATAAAATACAATTTACTAAATCTGGAGCAGACAGAATCTGGAGCAGACAGAATCTGGAGCAGCTGGCTGCATGGCAACCAATTTGCTTCTAATTTCAGTTTGTTCAGTTCAGCTTTGCAAATTACAACTAAAAGCTGATTAGTTGCCATGCACAGCTTGTGGAGCGGGCAGAATGTCTGCTCCAGTTTTAGTAAATTTCTCACAATCAGAATAAAAGGAGGCTAAAACATGTCAGTGGAGTCATGTGTTAGGAGAACACATTTTAATGAATAAAGTCGTGTGAATGTGATGTCACGTTCCTCAAAGCTCAAAGCTCCAAACACTAAAACCCACTCCATCTTCCTTTAAGTTGTGAGATTTAAGGTCCTATTAAGCCAAGCTGATCTTTAGACTTTGATTCATTTGTTTAAAATATTATGATGAAAATGAAAAAAACTTTTCCTCTTGGAATTATAAGTTTATTTAGAGTAGCTTGTTGAGAGTGGTGCTATGTTATATGGGCTGTCTTATGGTCAGCTTACAAGGAGCCACCCCTATGCCTGACAAATGCAAAATGTGTCTGAAGGCTTTACCTGCTGAAAAAAGTGATATGATATGTAATGTGCTCTTTAGACACACCTGTATTCGCTGAGGTAAGGTAACACTGGAATCTGAGGGAATAAGCTGTATTCTTTGGGTACTTCCATCCATCAGGGCTGTATGTGTCACTTCTGTCTGAGTGCGAGAAAGCTGAAAGTACAACCAATTTTGTATATAACTAGAGTGCTGACATTTTCTCTATATTCTTAACATTCCTTTAAAAATTTATTTTCGTTTAATCAAAAACAGAATCAACACAAAACTAAAAGAATATTCTGCTTACATGGTTGTCATTATACGGACAGTTTGCATTGCCCAAGTTAATGGCGAGTTTACTTTAAAGTAGATCAAAAATCAAAAAATTTTTCACATTAATGCATTCCACACATTCAGGTTAAAAACAAATTCCAATATTTGTATCACCCCTTGCCCTACCCCCAACCCCCCCCTCCTCCAAACACTTACCTGAGTCTTCTCTCAATGCAGCACTGTGCCTGTCTGCAGCAGCAGCGGGGAGTTCTTGCTGCTGTCATCTAAATCATAAGAGGAGAGTGTGGCCAAGCCGCACTGTCTCTTATGGATGCACACAGCCGGACTCAGGAGTGAACCCACATGTGTACCCCCAAAGCACACAGATTGCTATGGGGGTACACACAGAAGAGGAGGAGCAGAGAGTACTGGTAGGAGGACCCCAGAAAAGGAGGTATGGGGCAGCTTGATGCAATACCATTGCACAGAACAGGTAAGTATAACATGTCTTATTTTAAGGGAAAAAAAAATCTATTAGAACCACTTTAATGTCTTCATGTTCTGGTACTCTTCCTGAGACTGTAGCAACAACATGAGACAGACCATACCACTGAGAAAACAGGAAGACACCCAATAACCATTTTTAGTTACTGACTTGAACAAGTATGCAACAACTAGAAGCCAAAATTTTTGATATGCATATTTTTTTACTGGGCAGAGTCTCCAGACGTACAGGGAATGAGCATTTTGATAAAGGGTCAGCATTGGTTGCCTCTAAGCTTTTCGTGACAGGTTTCCTTTTACTACATGCACAAATTATTGTATTGTGCATATTTGTGATAAGCAGGTTATTTTATTTATTCTAATTAAATAGGACATAAAACACATACATTTGCTATATATATATATATAGTGGATATAAAAAGTCTACACACCCCTATTAAAACATCAGGTTTCTGTGATGTAAAAAAAAATGAGCCACATAATTTCAGAACTTTTTCCACCTATTATGTGACCTTTAAATTGTACAACTCAATTGAAAAACAAATTGAAATCTTGTGGTTGCACAAGTATGCACACCCTCTTATAACTGGGGAGATAACTGTGTTCAGAATTAAGCAATCACCTTCACAATCATGTTAAATAGGAGTCAGTACACAGCTGCCATCATTTAAGGTGCCTCTGATTAACTACAAATAAAGTTCAGCTGTTCTAGTAGGTCTTTCGTGACATTTTCTTAGTCACATCCTACAGCAAAAGCCATGGTCCGCAGAGAGCTTCCAAAGCATTAGAGAGATCTCATTGTTAAAGGTATCAGTCAGGAGAAGGGTACAAAAGTATTTCCAAGGCATTAGATACAGTGAAGGAAATAAGTATTTGATCGCCTGCTGATTTTGAATGTTTGCCCACTCACAAAGAAATGATCAGTCTAAAAATCGAATGGGAGGTGTATTGTAACACTGAGAGACAGAATAGCAACAAAAAATTCAAACAAAATGCATGTCTAACAAATTATGTACTGATTTGTATGTTCATGAGGGAAATAAGTATTTGATCCCCTTCACAAAACATGACTTAGTACTTGGTGGCAAATCCCTTGTTGGCAATCACAGAGGTCAGACATTTCCTGTAGTTGGCCATCAGGTTTGCACACATCTCAGGAGGGATTTTGGCCCACTCCTCTTGGCAGATCCTCTCCAAGTCATTAAGGTTTGGTGGCTGACGTTTGGCAACTCGAACTTTCAGCTGCCTCCACAGATTTTCAATTGGATTAAGGTCTAGGCCACTCGAACACCTTAATGTGCTTCTTCTTGAGCCACTCCTTTGTTGCCTTGGCCGTGTGTTTTGGGCCATTGTCATGCTGGAAAACCCATCCACGATCCATTTTCAATGCCCTGGCTGAGGGAAGACGTTTCTCACCCAAGATTTGACGGTACATTGCCCCTTCCATCGTCCCTTTGATGCGTTGCAGCTGTCCTGTCCCCTTAGCAGAAAAACACCCCCAAAGCAGAATGTTTCCACCACCATGCTTGACAGTTGGGATGGTGTTCTTGGGTTCATAGGCAGCATTCCTCCTCCTTCAAACACAGAGAGTTGAGTTGATGCCAAAGAGCTCGATTTTGGTCTCATCTGACAACAACACTTTCAACCAGTCCTCCTCTGCATTATTCAGATGTTCAGTGGCAAACTTCAGATGGGCCTGGACATGTGCTTTCTTGAGCAGAGAGACCTTGCGGGCACTGCAGGATTTCAATCCTTGTCGGCGTAGTGTGTTACCAATTGTTTTCTTGGTGACTGCGGTCCCAGCTGCCTGGAGATCATTGACCAGATCCTCACGTGTAGTTCTGGGATAATTCCTCACTGTTCTCATGATATCATTGAGACCCCACGAGGTGAGATCTTGCATGCTGCACCATACCTAGGGAGACTGACAGTTGTTTTGTATTTCTTCCATTTGTGATTGATTGCACCAACTGTTGTCACCTTGTCACCAAGCTGCTTGGCGATAGTTTGGTAGCCCAGTCCAGCCTTGTGTAGGTCTACAATCTTGTCCCTGACATCCTTGGACAGCTCTTTGGTCTTTGCCATGGTGGAGAGTTTGGAATCTGATTGTTTGATCCTGTGGACAAGTGTCTTTTATACAGGTAACAAAATTAGATTAGCAGCAATCCCTTTAAGAGGCTGTTTCTAATCTCAGCTTGTTACCTGTATGAAAGACACCTGGTAGCCAGAAATCCTGCTGAATGATAAGGGATCAAATACTTATTTCTCTCATGAACATGCAAATCAGTGCATAATTTGTTAGACATGCATATCTTTTGAATTTTTTGTTGCTATTCTGTCTCTCAGTGTTACAATACAACTACAATTCAATTTTTAGACTGATCATTTCTTTGTGAGTGGGCAAACATTCAAAATCAGCAGGGGATCAAATACTTATTTCCTTCACTGTATACCATGGAACACAGTGAAGACAGTCATCATCAAATGAAGAAAATATGGCATAACAATGACATTACCAAGAACTGGACTTCCCTCCAAAATTGATGAAAAGACAAGTAGAAAAACTGGTCTGGGAGGCGGCCAAGAGGCTTACAGCAACATTAACCGCTTAAGGACCACCCTATAGCAGATATACTGCTACAGGGAAGCACCTGTGCGCAAAATCATATATGTGATTTTGAAATTCCAGGTAGGGGTGGCATGCGCGTACCGCACGCCCTACCCGCGCAGTGGATGTCAATCACCGGGTCCCGCTTAATAATTACCCGACAGTCACCGATGGGGAGGAAGACTGTTTTGTCGACTCGAGCACACTGCTTGAGATGGCTGTGCACATCACAGCCACCCCGAGCAGTGTGCCTACAGTAAAGCAAAGCACACACCCCCGCCCCCTGTAAAACACTCCCAGCACTTAGTTAACCCTTTGATCACCCCTCACATTAACCCCTTCCTGCCCAGTGTCATTAGTACAGAAACCAAGCTAGTCCCCCCCCCCCCCCTAGTGTCAGAATGTCCGCTGCAGTCCCGCTATAAGTTGCTGATCGCCGCCATTACTAGCAGAAAAAAAAACCCCAGTATCTATACCGCCATTTGTAAACGCTATAACTTTCACGTAAACCAATTAATTTACACGTATTGGGATTTTTTTTTTAGCTAAGATATGTCGCAGAATACATTTTCTGCCTAAATTTATGGCGAAATTAGATTTTTAAAATTTTTTTTACTAGACAGGTTTAATAGCAAAAAGTCCAAAATATTGTATTTTTTCTCAAAATTGTTGGTCTTTTTTTGCTTATAGCGCAAAAAATAAAAAACCGTATAGCCGATCAAATACCACCGAAAAAAAGCTCAATTCGTGGGAAAAAAAAAGTATGTAATCTTCATTTGGGTGCAGTGTTGCATTACCGTGTAATTTACATATTTACATTAAAAAAAACCATTAAAAAAAAAAAGAAGTTATAATGCTATACCCACAGTTGAACCAGAGGAAGGCAAAAAAAAAAAAAAAAAAAAAACCAGCAACGCACCATCCAATTTGCTCATGCAGCGGAAAACAATTCCTTCCTGATCCCTCAAGAGGCAATCGGATATTCCCTGGTTCAACTTTACCTATAAATGTTAGTACCTTTCAGTGTTTAGAGATTAAATTTCTTTTCCTCCAGATGAAGAGAGTGCCCCCTTGCCCTCTGTGATGACCTCAGGGTGAATAACTCTACACCGAGTTCACTATATGAACCACTGATGTATTTATACATGTTGATCATATCCACCTTAATCTCCTCTCAAGAGCGAATAATTTCAGTTCCTCTAATCCTTACTCATAGCTGAGCTCCTCCATGCCTTGTATCAGTTTAGTTGCCCTTCTCTGCACTTTCTCCAGTTCCCCAATGTTCTTTTTGTGAAGTGGTGCCCAAAACTGAACTGCATATTCCAGATGAGGTCTTACTAATGATTTGTACAGGGGTAATATGATATCTCTCTCTCTGGAGTCTATACCTCTTTTAATACAAGAGAGGATTTTGCTCACTTTAGAAACAGCAGCTTGGCATTGCATGTCATTATTAAGCTTGTGATCTACCAAAACTCCCAGATCCTTCTCCACCATTGATTCCCCCAGTTGTACCCCCCTAGTATGTATGATGCATGCATATTCTTAGCTCCCAAGTGCATAACCTTACATTTATCAACATTAAACCTCATTTGCCACATAGTTGCCCAATTAAACAGTGCATTGAGGTCGGCTTGTAAATTGAAGACATCCTGTAAGGACGTTATTCCACTGCACAGCTTGGTGTCATCTGCAAAGACTGAAATGGTATTTTTAATCCCAGACCCTATATTGTTTATAAATACTGTATTTTTCGCTCCATAAGACACACCTACCAGAAGACGCACCTAGGTTTTAGGAGGAGGAAAACAAGAAAATAAATATTCTGAACCAATGGACTGCAGGCACAGTACAGGAAATGACCAGAGACTGCGGACACAGTACAGGAGATGACCAGACTGCGGACACAGTACAGGAGATGACCAGAGACTGCGGACACAGTACAGGAGATGACCAGAGACTGCAGACATAGTACAGGAGATGGCCAGAGACTGCAGACATAGTACAGGAGATGACCAGAGACTGCGGACATAGTACAGGAGATGACCAGAGACTGCGGGCACAGTACAGGAGATGACCAGAGACTGCGGACATAGTACAGGAGATGACCAGAGACTGCGGACATAGTACAGGAGATGACCAGAGACTGCGGACACAGTACAGGAGATGACCAGAGACTGCGGACACAGTACAGGAGATGACCAGAGACTGCGGACACAGTACAGGAGATGACCAGAGACTGCGGACACAGTACAGGAGATGACCAGAGACTGCGGACACAGTACAGGAGATGACCAGAGACTGCGGACATACTACAGGAGATGACCAGAGACTGCGGACACAGTACAGGAGATGACCAGAGACTGCGGACACAGTACAGGAGATGACCAGAGACTCCGGACACAGTACAGGAGATGACTAGAGACTGCGGACACAGTACAGGAGATGACCAGAGACTGCGGACACAGTACAGGAGATGACCAGAGACTCCGGACACAGTACAGGAGATGACTAGAGACTGGGGACACAGTACAGGAGATGACCAGAGAGATGACTGCGGACACAGTACAGGAGATGACCAGAGACTGCGGACCTTTGGGGAGCGGGTACCCGAATTTGACAGGTAACCACTCCCACTGCGATCGCCTCTCTCCCCCATAGTCTTCTGGGACACGTGACTGGTCCCAGAAAACTATGGGGCCATTCACAAAGCGCAGCGTTTCACGCGCATGGTGTCACAGCCGAGTGTCCACACTAAAGATGCCAGCGCCAAGGGGAGAAGACGACCGGTGAAACCAGCTGTGATGAGGTCACCGCTGGACCGAGGAACAGGTAGGACCAAGGAGCAGCTTCTGCTGCACAGAAGAGCCGAGTGGCCGGCCTGATATTCTAACACGGTGGCGGCGACGGGGGGAATACTGGGCCGGCCACCGCATATTTGCTCCATAAGACGCACAGACATTTCCCCCGATTTTTTTGGGGGGGGAAAAAGTGCGTCTTATGTAACAAAAAATACGGTGTATTAAACAGTAAGGGTCCCAACAGTGAACCTTGGGGTACACCACTGACAACCCTAGACCATTCAGAGTATGAATCATTAACCGCTACTCTGAATACGATCTTTTAGACAGTTTTTTATCCATTTACATACAGATTTTTCCAAGCCTGTAGATTTTACCTTACACATTAGCCGTGTGTGGGGAACTGTGTCAAACGCTTTTGCAAAATCCAAGTATACCATGTCCACCGCCACCCCTTCGTCCAAGGTTTTGCTCACCCCCTCATAAAAAGAAATCAGGTTTGTTTTTCATGAATCTTTGCTGTCTGTTGCTTAAAATATTTTTTTCCAACAAGAACTTATCTATTTGGTCTTTTATTAAACTCTCCAGTATCTTCCCAACTATAAAAGTTAAACTAACAGGTCTATAATTACTTGGTAAAGATTTTGACCCCTTTTTATATATTGGCACCACATTGGCCTTACACCAATCCAGTGGTGCTATGCCAGCAGTTAAAGATTCCCTAAAAATTTTAAATGACAGAGCTCAATTCTTTAAGGACCTATGGGTGTATGCCATCCGGTCCAGGTGCTTTATTCACCTTTATTCTGTCTAAATATTTTTGGATCATATCAACTGTGAGCCAATGTGGATCATCTGGAGCTGTGTCAATACCATGCCCATTATGGACAAGAGCTCCCCCATGCTCCTTTGTATACACAGAGCTGAAGAAGGTATTTAATAAATTTGCCTTCTCTTTGTCCCCAGTCACCCACTCTAGATTATTTTGTAAAGGGCACAGCACAGCCATCCAAAGCAGTGTGCTTACAGTGAAGCACCAACACACCGCCCCCCAGTAAAACACTCCCAGCACACATTTAACCCTTTGATCGCCCCTCATGTTAACCCCTTCCTTCCCAGTGCTATTAGTACAGTGTCAGTGCTTTTATTTTAGCACTGAACACTGTATTGGTGTCACTGGGGATGTCAGTGACACCAAGTTAGCTCCCTCCAGTGTCAGAATGCCCACCGCAGTCTCGCTATAAGTCACTGATCGTCGCCATAATTAGTAAACAAAAAAAAAATCCCAGTATATATACTCCCATTTGTAAACGCTAAAACTTTCACGTAAACCAATTCATTTACACGTATTGGGATTTTTGTTTTAGTAAAGACATGTAGCAGAATACATTTTGGCCTAAATTTATGAAGAAATTAGATTTTTTAAATTTTTTTACTGGACATGTTTAATAGCAAAAAGTCAAAAATATTGTTTTTTTTCCCAAAATTGTCAGTTTTTTTTTTTTTATAATAGCACAAAAAAAAAATCAAAAAACGTACATACGATCAAATACCAAAGAAAGATCAATTCGTGGGCAAAAAAGGACGTAAATTTCATTTGGGTGCAGCGTTGCATGACCGTGCAATTGTCAGTTAAAGTAACACAGCGCCATAATGCAAAAAATGGCCAGGTCAGGAAGGGGGGTAAATCCTTAGGAGGGCAAGTCGTTAAGCTTGTGCGTGAAATACTGCATTAATATTGCGTTTATTTACAATTGCCTTGCTGTATAAACTATCATAAATGCATGGCACAGTGCTTCATAAAGCAGGTTGTTTTTTTAATTATTTTATATTAGTTAAAGGATAAGCAATTCCAATTGAGATGCAATTATAAAAGCTTTGCTCGGTGGAGGGTGCAGCTGTAAAAAAAAAACCAAAAAGGTAATTTAAATGCAAATCCTTCCAAAACCTTTTAGCCACTTGCCCTCCTGAGGATTTACCCCCCTTCCTGACAGGCCATTTTTGTGTTACAGCACTGCGTTACTTTAACTGACAATTGCGCGGTCATGCTATAAATTTAAAAAAAAGACCGACAATTTGGAGAAAAAAAAAAAAATATTTTTCACTTTTTACTATTAAACATGTCCAGTAAAAAAATGTAAAAAATATAACATTTTGTCATAAATTTACGCCAAAATGTATTCTGCTACATGTCTTTGCTAGAAAAAAAAATCCCAATATGTGTAAATTAATTGATTTACATGAAAGTTATAACATTTACAAATGGCAGTATATATACTGGAATTATTATTATTATTTTTTTTTTTTTTTACTAATAATGGCGGTGATCAGCGACTTATAGCAGGACATTCAGGCACTGGGGGAGAAATGACTTGGTGTCACTGACATCTCCAATAACACCCAATACAGTGATCAGTGCTAAAAAAAAAAAAAAAAAGCACTGGCACTGTACTAATGGCACTGGGCAGGAAGGGGTTAACATGAGGGTCGATCAAAGGGTCAACTGTGTGTAGAGAGTGTTTTACTATGTGGTGGTGTGTTGGTGCTTCCCTGTAAGCACACTACTCTGGATAGCTGTGCACAGTCATCCAGAGCAGTGTGCCCAAGCTGACAGGGAGGAGAACTGTTAGTAAACAAAACAGTTCTCCTCCCGGTCGGAGATCTCCAGAAATTACCAGGCGCCGGCGAGTAATTACCGGCTGGGACCCGGTGATTGACAGTCGTGGTCGCGAATGGCGGCGCAGGTAGGGAGCGCACGTTACACACTAGGAAATGCAAAATCATGTATATATACACGTGATTTTGCGCACCCGTGCCGTCCTGTAGCAGTATTACTAATATAGGGCGGTCGGGAAGAGGTTAAATTGATTGCACAAACAAGGGAGTGCCCATGTAGAGAAAGATATGATCTTTTCTATTTCCATGAAATCTTCTATCAAAACTAAAAATGATTATCAGTAACATTCTGTGGATCTGTGCTTCATCCATTTCTTCAGCTTTTATCATTACACCGCCAGTCATCAGAAGATAGTGCTGGCATGAAAGCAAAGCCCTGCTCCTCTACCAAGTACATTATGACATTATCCCGCAGGAGCCCACTTTTTTTTTTTTGGTGCGCTTTACTATCGCTTTTTACAGTAAAATAAATGTGTACTAAACAACGGTTTGCATTTATAACATGAAAATGATCATTGCTGCTCAGTATGTTGGAATTTCACTGAATCATCTGAAATATATTCCTATGTATTGCCGTACTCCATATATTATCCAATTATGAAGGAAGGGCAACCGCCTTCAATATTGAATATGCCACATTTTAGGAAACTCTTCAAAGTGAAGGTAGCCATACTTACTAGATTACAGTAAAAGGAGGCCCTGTAGCTTTTTAGGCACACTTAAAGCTGATGTCCAGCTTTTAATGAAGTTTAGATATTTTGCTTAGCTCAAGCTAGTCCAAACAAATTATTACCTTCACTAAGAGATGCAGTATAAACTGTAGGTGTCCTCAGCTACATACAGTACGGTATACAATACTGTGTTTCGGCACTGGGATGGAAACTTCCGGTTCTGAGTCGGGCTGAACGCTCAGCCATGCACAGTGAGCTTTGTAGTTTATGAAAGAATACAAAGCTTCCTCTGATTGGCTGAAGCAGAGATGTTGATTGGCAGGCAGAAGATTTAACAAACTCCAACTCAGCCAATCAGACAATGTATGATCATGGTAGAATACAAGCGATAAAAAGGTACAACATTCAGAGCTGAAACATTGGCAAAAAAATACTCTGGGACTCAAGTGGTTTTAGAAAGTAAAAGGCCTGGGGACTCAAGTGGTTAAATGTGTACAGTACTGTATTGTTGTAGCGTTTAACTTACCTCCCCCATTTGCTGCTCAATAATCTGGTGGGCTATTTCTTCTATAGATGCCATGACCTGTCTTTAGAATGGTATCCCTGGGAGGAAGGAAGGTGTTTAAGGAGTCCAGTTTTTGGTCCAACTGAAGCCTATTAAAATAAAAACATCTATTACTTCTTGATATTTAAAATGTAATAAACAAAAATAAAACAAGCAGTTATTTTCCACATCTGGTTACATTTTTACAAATAGTAGAGTGTGCAATTTATGTGTTACATAGAAACATAGAAAAGTGAAGGCAGAAAAAAAAAAAAGGATGCCTAGTGGCCCATCGAGTCTGCCCTTTATTTTAATTTAAACATGTTTCTGTAATTTTTTTTTTGTCTGAGTATAGATTTATGTTTGCCCCAAGCATGTTTGAAGATGCTTACTGTTGACTGACTCGCTACCTGCTGGAAGTCTATTCCAAGCATCAACTACTTTAAATTCTTATTCAGGCTTATAGGGACGGTTCACATCCCTGCATTTTATGTGCTTTACAACACAGATCACAGTGAACAAAGAGTGCATGAAAACTAGTAACAGTTTTTTATCTATGAAGCTCTCAACATGAGTGTGTTGCATTTTTTAAAAATACCTGACTGCCTGCTTTGGTAAAATCATGCAATACATTAAAATCAATAGCAATGCATTGAGAAAATGCAATATGCGTTTTGATCAATGCACTTCATTATTCAAGTCACATGTCTATATGTGCCTTCAGGGAGAAAACACATGAAAACACAAGCAAATTGCACCTTGCATTGCAGTATATTTAAACACAAATAATTTAAAAAATGCCAAAATTGCATTACACCTGTGTGTATTTTCTAACATGATAGTACAAACTGGCCCTTAACATAACTCCCTCCACAGAGGGAGTTTTTTTTTTTTTTACCCAGTGCAAGTCTTTGCTGTCCTGGCAGCACCTATGCATTACAGCCCTAAGAATATCTATGGGACCAAAAGCCTCTGGCCTCAGGACACAATTCCACAGAAGAAGTATTTTTTATTACTATCATATATTTCTGTAGTAAAATGTAGCCGCACACCCAGACCTGTGACCATGCTAAAATGTTTGGGGCATGCCAAATGCAATGAGAATGAAGTCTTCACTTTTATTTTCAAAAAACCAAAGGTTTTTTTTACTACTATAAAAAAGGGCTGCACTTACATGACACGTGAAAAAGTTGAACTATGCAAAAAAAAAAAAAAAATCCTGTGATGAAATAAATACAGAGATTTACATTATTGACCCCTTTAAAATGGAAGAAAGTCAGCTTTTTAACTTGTACCTGCAGGTAAAGCCTATAGGGCTTATCTGTAGGTACAGTGAATAACTCATAAACTTGCACTGTTTACGGGATATTCACACAGCATTTAGCTGGCGATGTCACTGGCGCAAGAGCTCCGAAGGGATGGAATACCCTGCTGTACGTTCAGAGCTCCATGATGGGGATCCAACGTGCCCCGGCCATTCATACAGCTGAAGTCCAAATATCCAGAAGGAAGACCGGGTGAAGATGGATGCGTCCAGGAGCAGTGACATCGCTGTGGTGGAGGGCTCTGTGTCCAGGTAAGTCTGTCATAATGTGCAGTGCATACTAGTATATTTTGACTTAAACCTGCAGGGACCCAATTTTATTTTTTTGTGGTGGCGCTTTAAAGTGATAGTAAAGCCACTTTGTTCATTGTTACCTACAGGTACGCTTATAACAAAGCTTACCCATGGGTAAAATTACTGCAACATGCAGCGTTTAGGAGATATTCAGGTTTTTCTACAGCCGACATATGTGCTCTGAAGGAACAGCATACCCATGCCGTTCCTTCAGAGCACTGTGCTGTGTCCCAAGATTCCTGTGCGCATGCGTGAGAGTGACATCATCGCCAGGTGGCCGGAGCTCGCGAACCTGGAAGGAAGACCGGGCAAAGATGGAAGCTTCTACAACGGTGACAGCGCGCCGCTGGAGGGCTTCATTTTAAGGTAAGTCTTACATAATATGCTAGTATGCGATGTATACTTGCAGGGTTTTTTTTTTTTACGCAGTTTACAACCGCTTTAAGAAAGCCTGGGAGTCTTGCCTGATCCTCTAACTTCAATACTTTCGGAGTTACCAGCGTAGAACATGCATGTAGCCAATGAAGTCAGAACTCCGCATTTGTTTACTTGCTCTGACAGGTAACCTGGGAAATACTGAAGCTATGAGATTAGCATACTGGCTAGGCAACTAGCATTTTCAGAAACAGAGGTCGGTAATGGCAAGTACAATATTTCTCTTGGCACAGGTTTCCCTGAAGGTAAATCTTAAATGAGGGAAATGTGAAAGCTGCTGTTGTTGGATTCTGAAAATACTAGTTGCCTTACTGAATCAGCACTTTAGCTTTTTAACTGCAACATCCTATTATAGTGCAAAACCAGAGCACAAAAATGAAAACATATCTAAACCAAATAATAAAAATGTAATATTTTACAGCCTATCAACACTTAAACGTGGAGGCTGCATTCATTTTCTTTTCTTTTTCTCTAAGGCCATGTTTATTTTATTTTCACCTGGTGATCCTACCAGTAACACACTCCCTGTACTACAGTCACTTTACTGCAGGGGCCAGCAACCAGTAAATTGCGATCTGGGCTTGCTTACCCGCCATCCCAAAGCATCAAACAAGTGGAATGCAGAGGGACTACTTGTAAATAGTGGTGCATGGAAATGAAAATTTCGGTGCCAAAACCAAAAATTCAGGAAGCACTTGGCCAAAAACCAAAACAAACAGTTTTTTCTTTTTTAAAAAAATTAATGAATGTGGCTGGCAATTTTGCATTAAAGTCAGTAGGGGCGATTTTGCATTAAAGTCAATAGGGACATTTGCAGTTTGGGGATGGTAAAATTCCATAGCTAAGATGTGCTTTTACCTCCCTCTGCACCAACCGCACCCCGTTTAGTTGCTGTGGCCAGGGGTGTACACGTCACAGCCGCATCAGGAGTCATACGCTCTGTCGTGGTTGGTGGGCGTAGCACCTGCCAAGCATGACCCATTTGAGTGAATGACGCCGCTCTGCAAGTACCCCGCAACCTTGTGCAGTACAGCAAACAAGGAGTTAAAGCAGGCAGCATTGTGTTGATTTTTTACCACCTCTTACAAGCTGACCTCAATGCACTGTTTAATTGGGCAACTATGTGGCAAATGAGCTTTAATGTTGATAAATGTAAGGTTATGCACTTGGGAGCTAAGAATATGTATGCATCATACATACTAGGGGGTAGAACTGAGAGAATCAATGGTGGAGAAGAATGGTTGAACTGGATGTACTTTTGTCTTTTTTCAGCCAGACTAACTATGTAACCACCTGCTTTAACCCCTTGGACCCCACAGAAGAATAAAGTTGCAGAGTGGCCTCATTTACTTGAATGAGTCGTGACTGGCAGACGGTAGCACCAACCAAACAAAAGCAAAAGGAGGTGTAATCCCTGCTGTGGTATATTTACACCTTTGACTGCTGCTTCAACAACCAAAGGGGGTCGGAATTGAGGGCAGTAAAACCACAACTCAACCACAGGGTTTTTCCACCCTCCAACTTTATGCCAAATGCAACTAAGGGCTCATCCACCTGATTTAAACCCATGATTGCTGTGCAATGCACACGACTGTGACATGGTAGTGCAGCAATTAGAGGTTTAACCACTTTCATACCGGGCACTTTTACCCCCTTCCTGCCCAGGCCATTTTTCAGGTTTCAGCGCTCTCACACTTTGAATGACAATTGCGCGGTCATACAACATTGTACCCAAACTAAAATTTTATCATTTTCTTCACACAACTAGAACTTTCTTTTGGTGGCATTTAATCACCGCTGGGGTTTTTATTTTTTTGCTAAATTAACAAAAAAAAATTTTGAAAAAAAAAAAAACCTCTTCTTTGTTTCTGTTATAAAAGTTTGCAAATAAATAATTGTTGTTCATAAATTGAGGCCGAGATGTATTCTGCTACATGTCTTTGGTGAAATTAACCCAAATTAGGATGTATTTTTTTTTAGTTTGTAGGAAAGTTATAGAGTTCACAAACTATGGTATAGATCTGGAATAAAGTACAACAGCGCTAGGTGTCTAATACTTAATCGGATGAGTAAATCAATATATATATGGATGAGAAAATTAATTGAATGAGCCGCTAGCATAGAAAGTAAACCTCAAAGAACTTCGGATAGTATGTGATAAAAAATATGCAGCGCTCATATAGAGATTAACCTGATTGCATAAGTTCAATTAAAATTAAGCAAGATTCATAATGAAAATAAAACAAAACATTAGAGTATTGAAATATTGAGCTCGTGACTTCTGTGATGAATCCAAGGTTGAGAAACCAGAGGGAAGTAGGTGACTCTTGTGATGTAAAAACTGAGAATAGCTTGCACTAACCAGATGTCTCAGCATATGAAGCATGGAGTAATTAAGACCTACTCCTGGTGCTCTGAAAGGAAGCCACTGCAGAGGATGATGTCATCTTAACTCTCGCCACTAGATGTCATGTTCCCAGGACAGCAGGACGGGGATCCCAGAGATATACATCAGCCAATGAGGGGATTAATCCAGCAAATCAGTCAGCAACCCACAGGAGACCAAGAGGAATCCAGCACCTTCAAAAAGCCCGGGCTCCCTCCAAATAAGAGAGCCACAGGCCCAAAAGCTCTGATAGTGTAGTATGTCATTTATTTGTGCAATAATACAGAAAGGTAAAACACACTTACAAATCCAATAGCAGGATCATAAGGTTGCTAAATAGTGAGTCCAGACAGTTGGGGGGCATCTGAATATTGATCAATCCTGAAGTACTGACAGCCAATCTAATGTCTTAAGTTTTTTGAAGTTGTATTTTTTTTTTTGTCATAATTTTTCGGAAAATGAAAAAATAAAAAAAATTATTTTCACTTTTTTTTTTTTTTTTTTTACATACTGTCACCAGTGCAGTACAGCGTCATCATATAACTGGCATGGCGGTGATAAGGGACACTGACTGGTGACAGTATGAAAAAAAAAATA